CCAGAAGTTGATACAAAGGGGGGCGGGGCAAGGAGGAGCACCCTTGGTAAAGTGAACATTTTGGTTCTAAAGAAAAAGTAGAAAGTTAGTTCCCCTCCCACCAAGTTCTGTACAGACAAATTGAGGTTTTGTTAATAGGCCTGCATCTGTGACTTGTTAGATCATTATAAAGGCACACTAGATATCAGTTAATAAAGTTGATTTCGGAAGTTAAAAAATTACGGTATTATAGTCGCATCTTTATTATATATACAGGGTTACCCACAAAGAATAAGACTTCAGATACGACTGCTTAATATGTTTATTGTTTACTGTCTGTTTCCTCATATTTGATTATGATTCCCCGCAACTGTAAAATTGTGTCTTTCTTTGCCAATTCCGAGCTAGAAGACTTAACTTAACCTTGGGATCGGCATTTCTTCTTTACAGTCTCATCCTTGGTGGTTAACCCTGTATTTTAGTACAGGGTTAACCATAAAAAATGAGACTTTAAGGACGACGAGAAAAATCTTGAAGTTTAAAAATGCGATGGTTGAATTTGTCTCCTGACTAAAAATAATGTCGCAAAATTAATTGCTAAATTATTTTCAAAGAAAGTTTAAAGGTTTAAGGAACCATTAATGTAAGAAAAAGATTAAAAAATTAATTTTGTGCACAGTCCTGCAGTCGTCTCTGAAGTCTCATCCTTTGTTAAAAACCCTGGTCCCTGGTACATTCGCTGTATGTATAATACCCTCCACTTATGTTATTATATTATAAAATCGTATATTTACGATAGATAATGATAGGTTATAAATTTTGTTTAGGGTGCTGGGTCGCAGCAGATTTGTTTATTAGATGGATTGGAATCCGCGGATTACGTCGAGTCAATCCTATCGGAAGACGACATTTAGCCTTGTCTTTTCAATAAATTGTGATATTATGTTAACTTGCCATTTTCTTTGATGTAAATAAATATTTGTATTTAAAAAGTTAAATCAACGGAATAATGTAGTCTTAGCTGATTGGTTTTGTCACTTTAAAAGGATAAACCAGCTCGATCACAAATTTGACATATCCATGACTTTCAATTTTAACCTTCAAAATAGCATTTAAAAATTAAAGTTATTGTGCAAGCATGTTGGAATTACAGTATTAACGGCGCGAACACAGAAAACGATATTTTAAAAACATCAAAACACGTAAATATTTTAAGTTTAATGCAATTTTAAGCAGAAAAAACGAAATTCACCGTTCTAAAAAAAATCCGTTTCGTTTTCAACCGCGATTTTTTAAAAAACGGCTAATCTGTTTCGTTAACGATTTAAAAAAACGGCTAAAAAGTTAACGATTTCATTTTTCGACTTTACCCGAACCTACCCTTATCACCTCTGAGTGAAAAGTTACCCACTGCAGCTAACACGCGCAAGTTACCGTAATGTTTATCCAGTAGTAGCTTGTGCCCCACAGTGGGGTATGGGGGGGGGGGTCAGCCAAATGAGTTTATTCTATAAACCTCTTATTTATGTCAAATAGAACTCTCTCAGTTTTTTAAATGGATTTAAATGTTGTACGTTTCTTAAGAATTTCGACCAAAAACCAGTTATTTCATTGAAAACTCTTAACATATAGATTTTTCAACACGCTACTCTGACTAAATCAAGGTTTTGGCGTGCTGCCGACGCCCTTAAATATTTTCTATATAGCTGTTAAAATCTATTTTTATATTTAGATTATCCCAAAACCGCTGCGTTTTGTACTTTGCTTAAAAATATATTTTTTCTTCTGAAATAGCTCGCTGTAATAAAGACGACATCTAATATATTGTGGGTTTACAGGATCCATTAAAGGAAAAATATATGAACAGGAAAAGTGATTATAAATTGAAATCATTATAAATCAATGCTAGCTACAATTGTGTTGAGTTGAAAGGGGGGGATCTACTGTAGTGAATTCTCCAGGTACTAACAAGAGGGTATATATTTCCCAAACCCAATGGTCCCGGTCAACTAGAGTCCTCAAACTGTAAACTGTAAACTATTCACTGAATTTCGTTCTTATCCACTGTTTGACCCATAAGGCGATAATAAATTGAATCCATTTATTTCGATCCTGAAAATACATGTTATTAACAATGGTTTACAGGGTACGAATATAATGAAAATGAGCTTACTAATTCTGGGTATTTAGGGATAATCCGGTTATTGAACAGTGCTAAAACAACGTTTTATCTGCTGAAATAAAATGACAATTGGTTGCAAAGATATGTAAATCACGAGTTTTAAGGTTTTTTAACTAACTTTGAAGCGAGAGCATGCACTGCACGTGAAGTTGTTTACACATTTCATCGGAGGTGAAAATGTTTGGCTTGGCTGCCGGAGAAAATCTTGGTCAAAGACGACCTTGCATCGAAGTAAGCTCTAATGTATACAGTTTACACCTTTAATCAACCTTTTAATGAGAATATGTTCCGCAAAATTGCTCAAAAATAACAGAATAACGCAAAAGCGGAATAGCGCAATTTTGCGCGAAATGAAGTTTGCGAATGATTACGCAAAGTGATAATTTTTTGCGCAAAAATGTAGCGCAACGAAAGCTAAATTTTTCGCTTTCTTTCGCAAAAATTGCGCAAAATTTTTGCGGGCGGAGGCCTAAATCTAGCTTTTAATTTAATATTCTGTATTATTCTGGCATTTAACCTCAAATAAGTCTAATTTATTTTGCGATATATCGCACGGACTAAAAGTATTTCGAAATAAGGAATAGAATGTTAGGTTTGCTTAACAGCTTATATCTTACTTTTGTCTATTTTAGTATTTTTCTATACGTTTTTCCACTTCATTTGGGTTTAATCAATTTTTATCTCCAGTTTTCTCAAACTTTAAACTTACTATTTTTTAATTCAGAGGTGACAACTCATGTTTTGTGAATATCAATATCAATGCTGGAACTCGATCTTTTGTTTAATTTAAACTTAATGCAGCGCAGATAACGAACAGCCACTGTGGATATCGAAATCAAGCGATGGGGATTAAGGGTATACAACATATAAATGCCTAACTTAGATTTCATTTGGTCTCTTTTCTACATTTAGTTTTCTTAATCTCTCTGTTTCCAAAGCATGTCAGAATAAAGTATGTCAGACTAAAGAAATATTATTGTTTACTTTCTGAAAGTCACTAAAACCAGATATTTACATAAGAATGTTTTAAAACCACGTCGAACATGGAATTTTCTGTATTTTCATGGATTAAATATCATTCTAGGCAGTTTTACGTCAATTCGAAAGTGGAGTTCTCTTGCCGCGCTGATCAGTCAAATGTTTAGTTTGGCTACTGTTGTGAATCGGGCATTGAGATCTTTGTATGGAGAGTCAACGCCTTCATTCCCTTTAGTTGCCACAAGATGTATTTTTAAAAAGGTGAAAATCCCCTGAATTGAACAAATTTAAATTCATAATATTTCTTTAGTCTTTTACACGCATAATGCATATTTTTTGGTATTTAAAATAATTTTCAAATTCTTTAAAATATTGAACTTCAAAAAATCGTATTTGTATAAAGATTAAAAGTTTATCCACAACACTAAAGTAAAATGTTATAAACAGCCGTTCCTTTGGAACCATCAATTTTGAAATTACAAAACAAATATTTAAAATCCGTTAAATCACAACAATTTACACAATGTTGTATATTTTTTATTTATCTTTCTATAAAATATTTGTTTCAATAGTTTAAGGTTCCATAGCGATGATTTCTCTGATGACTGTAAGGTGGAAGGCCCAAACCTCTTGTGCTGTTGGAATGATCTTATCTGGAGGGAGCAGGAATCCATAGTTACCTAAATACACATAGATAAAGGGAAGTGACTCTCCATGCAAAGATGGAATGCTATACATGGGTACTCTTGAAACCTTTATCTGATCAATAGTGTGGAAGATATTGTCGTTTCTCGAGGTTTAAAAATGTGTATATTTCTGATAGTTTTCCCGTAAGTCAGTTTTAAAATTTTAAACATTCCTATCTAATTCATACTTTATGAGATAAAGCTGTTAAGGGTACCATTGTGAATCAAGCATTGCTATCGTTGCCAGGAGGTATTTGATCTAACATAATTCATAGTTTGAAATATCAAAGGTAAACGACATTATGTTGCAAAGATATAGAGGGTTAGGTATTTTGTAACCGCAAACAAAATTACAAAAAAGGTCTCATTAGAAATTTGTTTACAGAGAGCTAAGAATTAATTCTGACCAGTATCTCTGAGTTCCATACTGGTGGTGTATGGAATCAAAGCATCTCCATGTGCCCAGTCTGTAGAGCTTCCACTGGCAATGTACAGCAAGCAAGGAATGCATCCAACCTTAAAAATGAAAATATTTAATAAGATATAATTGCTTATCTCAAAAGTCAATATTTAACCACATCAAATAAACTTCCAATGAAACCCTGCTTTGAAGAACAAATATTAGAAAAAGTAAAAGATTAGTGATTTTTGGAACGAAAATTTAATATTTGGTAAAAATTGACTTGAGGACAATTTCCAAAAAAACAATAATTTCCAGTTTTTTAACCTGAACATCGAATCTTAAGAAATAAATATTTCAAATGAGTAGAATTCACTGGAATCACATACCTCATAAGTTTTGCCATGAACGGCTGTGAGAGCATCAGACCCCTTCATGAAGAGATTGTACATCTCATCATAATCATTTGGAACATCATCGGTATACCCCCAGGGGAGAAGGATCATCTGACTGTAGCTATGGATAGAGTTGTAGAAGGCCCAATCTCCTCGTCTTGAGTTCAGAATGTCACGGACATTCACGTTCTCAGGTTCAGAGAATGGTACAGGTCCGTGGTAGGTGTCACTGCAATTGTCATGGGAGCTCCCACCTTCGTTCCAGTGGAATCCCCAGTTTCTGTTAGCATCAACTCCCTACATAATACACTAGCTTGAGAACCCAGCTTTGCCCAGGGTACTCAAAGTTACTCCCGCTGTTTATCCACGCTTGGTAGTAAATTACGATTTTAGCTATTCTTTCCAACTTAGAATCTTAAAACTAAGCTAATAACATTCCTGTGGTTCTCTTGAGTTCCCCAACAAAGTTTCATGCAAATCGGTCAAGGGGTTTATGAGTTGTGACATCCAAACAAACAGAGATTACATCTTTATATTTATAGATATAGGATTATAAACAAGAGAAACAAAGCTTATTATTGTTAAAGATAAAAGTTATCATTCTTACCAAACATCCAAAAATAGAATTATGATCAGATCTTGTCTTTCTCCACATTCTGTTTTCTTTTCTGGAAAATGCATATCCATCAGGATTGGAAGATGGTAGGAAGTACCTGAAAAAATATAAATAAATATATCAAAGGAACATTTATGCTTTTTCCAATCATTAAAATCAATATTTTTGCTGATAGGGAAACATGATGATGTTTATTCTTACCAATCAAGGGTCTCGGTAAGATCAGAATGCTCCGCATCATTTTCAACCAGTTCTCTTAACATCCAGGTTACAGTGGCAGGAGAAATCCATTCTCTAGCATGAATACCTCCATCAATCCAGACTGCCTTCTTCCCCCCACATCCACCTTTACAGATCTTCGCTACTCTCATATCTCTTCCTTCAGAAGTAGATCCAATAGACTCGGTAGAAACAAAGTCATATGTAGCCTCCAGATAGTCAAGGTAACTGTACATATCATCAAGGGTATGGTATTCATCCCATGTCATAGCATGATCAGCAGATGCTTTCTCCCTGGACACAGCCTTGACCTTTTCTCCCCTCTCTCCCTCTCTCCCCTCTTTCCCCTTTCCCCCTTTTTCCCTTTTACCCCTATCTACCCTAGGTAGGGCTAAGATTGGTTGGAGACCCTAGATTGGTTGGAGGGTCTGGTTCAATTGGATGACCTGGATTGGTAGGGGACCCCAGATTGGTTGGAGGGTCTTGTGCGATTGGGGGATCTGGGTTGGTTGGAGACTCTGGATTGTTTGAAGGGTCAGGTTCGAGTGTAGTACCTGGGTTGGTTGGAGGCCCTGGATTGGTGAGAGGGTCTGGATTGGTTGTAGGGTCAGGTTAGATTGTAGGACCTGGGTTGGTTGGAGACCCTGGATTGGTCAGAGGGTCTGAATTGGTTGGAGGCTCAGGTGCATTTAAGGAACCTGGCTTAGTACGAGGACCCGGTATGGTAGGAGCACTGGATTGGTTGGAGGGTCAGGTTTGGTTAGATACCCTGGATTAGTTGGAGGGTCTGGTTCGATTGTATGGTTAGGGTGGCTGGAGACCCTAGATTGGTTGGGGGGTCTGGTGCGATTGGAGGATCTGGGTTGGTTGGAGACCCTAGATTGGTTGGGGGGTCTGGATCAGTTGAAGGGTCCGCATTGGTTGGACGCTCAGGTGTATTTGAGGAACCTGGCTTGGTAGGAGAATTGTTTGGTTGATACCCTGGATTAGTTGAAGGGTCTGCATTGGTTGGAGACCCTGGATTGGCTGGAGGATCAGGTTGGATTGTAGGACCTGGGTTGGGATTTAGGTTTTTCATTTTAGGTTTTTGTCCAATTTTGTTTTATTTAGTAAATTAAATCTTATAAAATTTGGGACACTCTGTACAATAGTTACTCCATTCCACTGTATTTGGGACATCATGGACTAGCTATTTCATTACATCGTATTTGTGACACCCTGTACTGTAGCTATTGCAATGTATTTGTGACACTCTATACTATAGCTACTGCAATGTATTCGTGACACCCTGTACTATAGCTACTGCAATGTATTTGTACGTGACACACTGTACTATAGCTACTGCAATGTATTTGTGACACTCTTTACTAAAGCTACTGCAATTTATTTGTGACACCCTGTACTTTAGCTACAGCAATGTACTGGGGACACTCTGTACTAGCTACTGCATTCCACTGAACACAATTCTCTATTGAGTTTGATGAAAAATGATGTAAAGTATAATAATAAAACATATACTATATATATATACACTGCTCATAGCTTCAAGCACTACTTCAAGCGGTATACTTTTCATGTCATATGTAATTAATAACAAAAAATGACACCCTCCAAATTTCTTTCAAAACTTCAGCATAAAGAGTAAAATATAAAATAAAAATGTCCCAAGTTCCTAAATTAAATAAAAATGTCCCAAGTTCCTAAATTAAATAAAAATGTCCCAAGTTCCTAAATTAAATAAAAATGTCCCAAGTTCCTAAATTAAATAAAAATGTCCCAAGTTCCTAAATTAAATAAAAATGTCCCAAGTTCCTAAATTAAATAAAAATGTCCCAAGTTCCTAAATTAAATAAAAATGTCCCAAGTTCCTAAATTAAATAAAAATGTNATACTAAAGTAAATTATTGTTGTACAATGTACATATCTAAAATACTAAAGTAAATTATTGTTGTACATTGTACATATCTAAAATACTAAAGTAAATTATTGTTGTACAATGTACATATCTAAAATACTTAAGTAAATTATTGTAATATTCTAATTACAGGACATAGCTGGGAACTCGTGTATTATGGATATTGTGATCAATACTTGATCGCAATCTTTTGTTAATCTGCAGATTAATCTATCCTGTTAAGGGATAACTGAAAGGAAAAGATTAAGCATTGATTCTCAAATTAAAAGTGTGCGCAGTGGATATCGAGATCAAGCAATTGGGATTCATGAGTAACCAACACAAAATATCCCAGCTCAGATTACTTGCCACAAACTCTTATTATCTAATTTCTATATATTTTTAACCTGATAATGTAAACCTCAAATCATATATAGAACTAGAACATTAGTATGAAAATAAAACTGAGTAATCAGCTCTCCATATAAATAATGTTGTAAATGCTACCGTAGATGAAAGATGTATACAGTAACCTGTTTAGAAGGTGAACATGTCTGGAGATATTCCAGTGCTTTGATGTATACAGTAACCTGTTCAGAAGGTGAACATGTCTGGAGATATTCCAGTGCTTTATGTATACAGTAACCTGTTCAGAAGGTGAACATGTCTGGAGATATTCCAGTGCTTTGATGGATTTTCTCAATAGTAGCCGGACCATCTGGAATTTATTCAAATTATTATTGAGATTTGAAATATTAGATATTCTACCATTGTTTCTCAGATCAAGGATTATTGTTGTTATTAATTTGAAAATATTAATATTTTACATTATTGTTTCTCAGAGTTTTCCAATCAAAATCTGAGGAAAATCGGTCAAGGGCTACCTGAGTTATGATTGTACATACAAACAAATAGACCAAAATGCAGACAACTTTTATATATTCAGATTCATGTATTTCTTTTAAAAATATATAAAAGTGAATTTGTAAATTTGAAAATTAAACCAAATACCAATTAACACTTTAAATTCAAACCGGTCATAAGAAATTAAAATTTTTTCTTATCAATCATAAACGCTGATCAAATTTACAAATATTTGTGCTTAAAATAAATTGGAATTTAATTTTCAGAGAAAATGACGATATCATCCACGTTATTAATGGCATAAAGGTTGAAAGAGTATCTTTATGAATCTAATGGCATGTACCTCTGTATATAAAGGGTCCCTAGCAGTCCATTTAACCATTGCTTCAATGCTAATGATCTTAAATGACCGCATGTTTATCGCCGGACTCGGTTGTTGATATATGACAACCTTTAAAGATATTCTTTTCCAGTACCAGAGCCCGAATCTTCCCATCCGTACTTTTTGCAAACAGCTGACGTCTTCACTTACTCACGGTGAAACACGACCCCTCTCGGCGAAAATGAATAGAAAGCATAGTAAAAGTAGATTATGTGCTGACACCTTCTGGGTGACATCTGGCGGACAAACAATATATAGTACGGAGACATTTAAAGTACGTCTTAAATACGCCCGTTAAGTTGGGAAGATTCGGCCTCAGTCAGCAAAACGTGTATTTAATCATATGATAAGATGGATCGAATTACTAACCTAGTGGCCACCATCCTTCCAACCCAGCTTCTCTTCTACTCTGGTTTATGGCATCTCTGAGAGCAAACAGTACACTGATAGATAAAAGCATTGGGGGCTCTCCTGTCGCTGAAATAAATTACTAAATCAAATCTCTTGGTTTCCTATGAAAAAAAGGAACATGTACATAATCTTTTAAATTGAACCAATTTTGGACAGTCCTTTAAATGGTAAGAACAAAAAATATTTTCAAAAAAGTTTGTTAGAGAAACTGTAACAGTAATTTTAACTGCAAAAATATGACAATCCCCGAGTCAAGCTTTAATTAGATATTAACGTTTATATAATTTATGAAACTAATTTTTCTCGATTGTGGTTTTTGAACAAATATGACATGCGCATTTATACGGCAGGGACATAAATAAGAATTATCAGATTTGAAAACTTTTCAAACTAGAAAACCGACAATATCTTCCACATTATTAATCAGAAATAAAAAATCACTAGAAATGTATAGGCTGAATTTCAACTTAAGTGCATGTGTGTAATCAGATGATTTCACTTGCGTGTGTGTAATCAGTTGATTTCACTTGCGTGTGTGTAATCAGTTGATTTCACTTGCGTGTGTGTAATCAGTTGATTTTCCTTGCGTGTGTGTAATCAGTTATTTCACTTGCGTGTGTGTAATCAATTGATTTCACTTGCGTGTGTGTAATCAGTTGATTTTCCTTGCGTGTGTGTAATCAGTTGATTTCACTTGCGTGTGTGTAATCAGTTTATTTCACTTGCGTGTGTGTAATCAGTTGATTTCACTTGCGTGTGTGTAATCAGTTGATTTCACTTAATTGCGTGTGTGTAATCAATTGATTTCACTAGCGTGTGTGTAATCAGTTGATTTCACTCGCGTGTGTGTAATCAATTGATTTCACTTGCGTGTATGTTATCAGTTGATTTCACTTGCGTGTGTGTAATCAGTTGATTTCACTTGCGTGTGTGTAATCAGTTGATTTCACTTGCGTGTATGTAATCAGTTGATTTGACTTGGTTATACCTTTTCCAGAGAATGAATTCCTTGTTTTGTTTAAACTCTGAATCATGTTGACCCTGAAGTCTTGAGGTATATCTTTAGCTGCTGGAGGCTTGTATTCCTAATTTTTCATAAATTAATAATTTCTAATAATTTCACAATTATAAATTAATTAATAAAATACCCAAGTATTTTTAGTGAGAAGTTCTCCAGTTGTTGGATGGTATTTCAACTGCTCTGAGGTCCATAGCCCCAGACCCATTATAAAGGCACCCTCTAATTGGCCAACATCAACCTTTACAAACGTTGCATATATTTTCAAATGGAGATATTTCTTTTTCGAACTAAAGAGTACAGCACGATATAGAAAATGGATTAGCACTAAGCTGTGCTCAAAAATATAATTACAAACTTTAAACATGTGGTCAAACTCAGATTATAATTACAATTAAGACAATTAAGTAAACAAATCTTTACGTCTGAAGTAATGTTAATTAAATGATTACTTACAAGGCCTGAAAGCATAATTTCAAGTAACCCTAAAATGGAAGGCTTTCATTTATGACGTGTCTGATTTACAGAAACGCTTGTATTTTTAAAAAGGGAGTTTTATACTATTTACTTTACAGTGGTGAACCATACCCCTCAAATTTACCCTGTTGTAAGGTCGTCTCTGACAAATTAACTGTACCTCCGTTGGACCCTCCGTCCACTTACCAAACCAAACATTTTCAAGGCTTTCGCGTAAATATAAACAAAAACCTCATGGAACTTAACGTGCATTAAAAGAACCAATTTAAACATAATTTTCAGTGAATCATTTACAAATAAACAGTGAAATTACTTTAACCAGTTAAATATTTATTTCAGAAGAATTAAATTGCTTTAGACTTCAGTTCAAACAACTTTTCGCCGTCCTACAGTTTTCTAGATTGTAAGTTCCTACATTTGAAGAATTTGTAAAAATCTGCGAACAAATTCATAGAAAATCAGAAATTCAATATAATGATGAAAATGAAATATTTGATTCTAACATTGATTTATTGACAAATTTCTTTTGAGAAATATGTTCCTAAACATCTAATTAATTTACTATAGAATTTTTACTATTTCTTTTATTGTCGTTATTCAATAATAAAAAAAAAACAATTCTAAAAACGTACTTTTCCAAATTGCTGATTTTGAACGTCGACTTTGCGCTCAAGCTCAGTAATTATAGATCTTTAAAACGTTTTATATGTTTCAAATGAATCCTAAAAAATTTCTCTACATTACTGCAATCTCAGTTTAACCACCATATATTGCCACTCACTCCCTTTAATATCTACATTCAATTTTTAAAAATCGCGTTGAATAGTCTGGATTACTTGGAAGATATTTAACCTAAACTGAGTTGAGTACCTTTGTAAATTGGGCAATTCCCTCTTTGCATGTACGGGGGTTCACTTGTAATTATGCTGATGCAACTCCTTTAATCTATACCTGAGGAGAGACAGATAGGCCAGCATCTTCTATAATATCTGCTCTGACAACAAACATCTCTCCAGTGAGTATATCAACCTCTACTTCTGTTACAACAGCACCCCAGATATCATAGTTACCCAAACCATCGTTTTCAGGACAAATCCTAAAAGGCTGTAATATGACAAATTGCATGAAACACATCTTTAGCTGCATTCAAAATTCAAAACTTTAATAGCATTAAAATAAATTTCAAAAACAAGCTTTATTGTTGCAAGTTTATTGTTTACAAGTTACAATCCCATTACAAGGAAGTTAGGAGACTTTTTATTTATCTTGAGTTCCCATGACCAATTTTGCCAACATATTGTTTTGTAAGCAAAATTGTTATAGGAAACGCATAGTCAAGAAAAAATTTTAATTTTTGAAAGAAATAAAGAATTTCAAGTGAAATTTGCATGTTGGGATTTTATTTTACTTAAGGGACATTTACTTAATTTAACATCCTGCTTGAGAGGGACCATAGGTTGGTAATGTTGATCATAACTATTCACAACTACTTTCAGGGAAGTCAAGGGAATTTTACTTTACCAAGGGTTCCCAAGACCAATTTTGTCTACAAAATATCCAGAGCACAACGAGGGATGTTTGTCGGCAAAATTGGTCAAGGGAACCCATGGTCAAGTATAATTTTTGATTTTGCCAAAAAGTAGTTTTTATTGTCTTCTGAGATTCAAAATGTGCGAATTTTTTCACGAAAACTTCGCAGGGCGGGTTGTTATTTTAATTGATTGTCCCAAGGGACGTTAAGTAACTTAAAGTCCCTCTGTTGGGTGAATCACAGGTCGGTAATTTTGGTCAAAAGGCTGTAAAAATGTAAAAAATTTCCAACATAAAATTAGTTTACAAAAGTATAAAATCATCTCTTACATGTATCTGGCACAGAGGTCAATGTTCTTCATGTTAGCCTCACTAATAATGTCCTCCCAGGTAGCAGAAGTGCCAAGACTTTCTCTTATTGGGGCCAAATTAGTGTTTAGGATGGAACATGCCTTAATGGCTGCCTGTGTATATTTAGATAAGTTAATATTGGATTTCTCTTAAGTCTCAAAAATTCAAATCTGAGATGTGCACACTCCAATATGGCGTGGGAAAACAAAACCATGAAAAGTATTGAAAAGTATATTTCTGTGTCTGTTTGAAGGATATTCAAATCAAAGCATGACTTTAATTAACATCAGAAATATTTGAAGAAATAAGTTCTTCTGGCATAATCCAAAAGTGTCAAAACTTACTTCACAAGAAAGCTCTGATCCCCAGCTTCCGCCAGTAACAAATCCATTTGGATTTATGTTGCTGATTGCAGGCTTAATTTTAATCAAATTCATCTCTACACCTAGCTCCTTAGCGACCACCTGCTGAACCTGTAATAGTACCGAGAATATTAAGAACTAGCTTGGGAACCCAGCACTGCCCAGGTTACTAAAAGTTACTCCCGCCATTTACCTGCACTTGAAGGATTTATAGAACAGATATTACAATTTTATATTTATAGATTAGATGAAGTTAAAGAGCATAACATCTTTATTTTGTCCATTTGCTTTCCCTACACAATGCCAAATTTTGACCATGAATTAGATATGAAATAACACACCAAATACAATTGTTTAAAATCAATCAGTTCAGGTTTGTGTGTCTTAGTTTTAAAAAGTAATAACCATCACAAGTTGGCAGCATCGGTGGGTGCCATTTAAAAGACGAAAACCCTTAAAACTTTCAGAAAACAAACAATCACGGATGATCGACACAAATAAATATTTAAATTCATATCAAAAATATTTAATACCTTTGTATTCAGTCCTTGTCCCATCTCAATACCACTATGAGCAACAGAAATAGTCCCGTCATTTGCAAACACAGATATTAGACAGTGAAACTTTATACCACCGCCATTAATGAAATGAGGATATCTGATGGGAACCAATGACAAGCCTCTTTTCTTCCACTTATTGGACTGAAAAAGAAAAGATCAATTATAAATTATCATCATTGAATTTTAGTTTATACAAATAAATTACCTGATTGAAGATTTGAGCTTCAGATATTCTATTAGTATAATCTGAAGAGGTTTTTAATTGATTGATCATCGAGCTAATAGGGTTTACAGTCTCCAGAAGAGCAGGGGGTGGAAGCACCGGAGAACCAACATTCATCAGGTTGTTTTGCTTCAACTCTAGAGGATCAATCTTCAGCTCTGCTGCAGCATGTTCCATAATATATTCCATCATAGCATGCCCATTTGTAGATCCTGGTGCCCGGGTTGGGGTGTTTGCAGGAGTATGAGTTTTAACACCAAAGGGAGTGTATTTGAGAGCAGGAATGTGATAACAGTTTTGTCCATTATTAACAGCAGACATAGCATCAATCCTATTAAAATTCCATCCTGAATCACAGAATATGCTACTTTCCACAGCTGTGATTTTTCGATCTTTGTCAAATCCAATCTACAAATTAAAGCATTTAGTTATTTATAGTTCTTAGATTTTATTAGTTTACCTTGTAGTCAAAAACATAGGGGTTCCTCTTCCCTAGCATTCTCATATTATCCTCTAAAGGAAGCCAAAGACGAATGGGCTGATTTAATTTCTTTGCTGCAACAGATGCTGCTGCTGCAATACCATTTGGTAAGTATATTTTACCACCATATCCCCCTCCAATCCTTTTAACTTCAACATTTACACTAAATGTGAACAAAATTTTAAATACGAAAAGAAAAAAAATCCAGGTTCTTACATTTTAGGTATATCATTATTAATGAGGGTTTACATAAGAAATGTCTGTGTTTTGGATATTGGACATTTAAAATGGGGTGCATTGTTTAGAACAATGTGAGACAAAAACATACCTGTTTACAGGAACCTTTAAGGCCTTGGACACTACCACAGCAAGCTTGGTTATAAATTGAGTGGGGACTTGGATGTCAAATCCATCTTCAGTTGGCTTAACAATACAGACTTGAGTCTCCAGATAGTAATGATACTGAGAGCCCATTGTAAATCTTCCTGACAGAACCACATCTGATGAGGCCAAGGCAAAGTCCACATCACCATACCCAACAGGGTCTGAGATTTGAAGGACATTCTCTGGGTTAGTCATAGACTTTGCAATATCAGTGGTAACTACATTTTCATTTGAATAATAGATCACAACAAGCTTTGCTGCCTCTACTGCTATATCTCGGGACAGAGCTACCATGAGACCAACAGCTTGCCCTGCATATTCACTACGAGAAGTGCAAAAGATGGTTTCTGGTGTAGATCCACCTGTCCAATCATTTAGACCTGGAATGTCATTAGCATCAACATAGGACAATACTCCTGGCAACTCCTAAAGATGTAAAAATATTTGTTATATCAACATTTCATTTTGAAATTCAAAAGTCTTACCAGAGCAGCATTAGTGTCTACAGAAGCAATACTACAATTTCCTCTGGTTGTCAGAACATATGCTGCATGCAGTTCTCCCCTTACAGTTGGTATGTCATTGACATACTCAGCTTCTCCACTGCACTGCACCTTGGCTTCATACTTTTCAACAGGCTTAGAAACTGGCCATTGGGATTCATCTGTGACCCAATCTTGTTGGCCAGATGAAAGTCCACGTTCTAGTTCCTCACACCCAGTCTGTACTTCTGATGATGCAGCTGACCCAAGTACAAAGATGTAGAACTATAACAAACAATAAAATTAAAAGTTTTAAATATGACTAAAAATTATCATTACCTTGTACAAAAGACAAAGACTCAACTGTTTTCTGTACAGAGCACTATGAAGAATTGGATCATCTTCTGGGATAAGTTCTTCAGCTAGGACAGCCATAGCTTCCAGGAACATTGCATGATCATTCATATTCCTGTTTATTAGAAAAGTTTCTGTTGCCTCAGCATGAACAAAGTTTTTGTTTATCCCTCCAAAAACTATTCTTGGTCTTTCCAAAATCTTAAAATTGTCTGCAACATCCACTTTTACCAAGAAACCAGCATTTACAACTGCATGAGCATTTGAACTTCTAGGCATTATCTTGTATGATTTGAACTTCCACTGTGATGATTGAGTCATAGCTTTTGACTGAAACCACAAAGAATTTAAATCCTTTTTCATTGAAGTTTTTTCCAGGATAGGAAATTTAACACTTACAATTACTCCATATTCCATTGAGAGATTTAAAAACTCAGTCAATGACGTCTCAGTTTTAGACCCATCTGCATGAGCAATTTCTACCTTTGCTCCGACAGTCTCTAAGCAGAGGAACACATCAGATGGAAATTCTGGATGGGCATGCTTCATCATCAAATTTCCAGCGAGAGATCCCTGATTTCTAATGCCATAGCTTGCAATCTTTTTCAGATGATGTGCTACTCCTTCAAATACTGGGTCTCCAGTCATACCAAGAAACCCCATTGCATCAGTTATGGTTACACCTCCACCAATAATAACCTGGGAGTTGCTACTCAACTCATGTAATTCAGAGACTTTTGCTATGTTAATGTAAACATTATAAGGTCCATCATTCTTATAGACACCTGTTCCTGTGTTTCCAGAAATTATTCTGAAAAATATATTTTAATGAATACTTGTTTAAATAAAAGTAAAGAAAATTCCACCTGTATTTTGTCCCCATTGGTAGAGAGCTTAAAATGTCCAGAAGATCAGATAGTGATGCAGGAATCAGCCATTGAAAGTTAGACTTTGGTCCATTGAAAGACGTTTGAAGAGGTGAACTGCACCTTCCATTAGAAGAGCATTGTTTCCCATCCTTCTTACATATTTTTAATTCTTCAATGTCAGGGAGGCATTTATCTGAAGCAAATGATTTGAAGGCATCAAGAATTGGTCTGTATCCTGTACACCTAGATAGTAGAATGATTAAATTTAAATATTTGGAAAATTAAAAGGAAAACTGCACCTGCAAATATTTCCATCTAGAATATTATCGATCTCAAGTTCTGATGTTGCTGAATGCTCTTGAAGCCAACTATGCAACTGCATAACCATTCCAGGAGAACAATACCCACATTGGCTTCCACCCTCTGATGCCAATTTTGTCTGAAGGATTTGAGTCTTTGCCGCAAACGCAGATTTTCTCATCCCTAAATCTTTGCAAACTGATGACGTAAGCCTTTGATATTTCAAACTGTGAATTCTGTTAGACCGAATAATCTAAGTTTTAAATATCAAAAGCTTACACCATTGGGTTGAAAGATATCGGAGTTTGAAAACTAAAATTTGTGACAAATACTCAGTTCCTTTTCCTTTCATTATTAACTTACTGTGTTTAACAGAAAGAAATGTAAAGATGCATAAAATTTCATTTCTTTGCTACACCAATGTTATTCAATATTTAGAACAGTATCCTTTCTGGTTTAACTTACTTCTTGACTTACTTCTGACTTACTTCTGGTTACTTTGGTTTTGCCCATTGGAAATGCAGTTAGTATAGGCATAATTTAAGAAACCCTGGAACCGAAAAAGGGTTGTTAGTACTAAGGCATACTATTTGTGCCCTGGTAAGTGCTAGCTCCACATGGGGTTGCACAACTGCACAACGGATGTTTAATAAGTTTTGTGAAAATTATTTAAAAGGTACTTCTAGACGTCTCAGTGCTGTAAATTAAAAAAAAAATTTACTATATTTATACTGGTTAAGTTTTTGGACAATCTAATGTCCATCAGATAATATGTTGGACGCAATTAACTTTCTCCTGGATCCAGTTAATGATGCTTGTCACAGCTTAATTATCTTGTAAGCATGTTCGAAAGGTTGGGTTACCTTAAAAAGTCAAAGTAGGGTAAGCCTTTATTGTAGAATGAGTCCTTGAATGTTTTCATAGTTGTAATCTACATTTCAGCAAACAGTTAATATCTTTTCCCAAGACCTCTTAGAAGCAAGTGGTGTCAAAATGTTTGTCGTTTTTCAAATTTTACTTTACAACTTTGTCTGCAGGACCATAGCAGATGTTAAACTCATCAAAAGTCAGCAACTAAGAAGCCTTGTGAATTTGCCTTGAGAAACTTTTATTTGTGTTGATGCTTGTGGGGTTTTTACGGATTTTTTTCTGCTCAAATATTTCATCATATTGCCAACACTTTCTATTATGTTACTCCAGTTGTAAACTATTGCCTTGTTCATATTATTATCCTCCAATGCATTTTAGATCATGTCAAGGGTGTCTGCTTTATAATTGGAAAGTTTAAGATACAATTTTTTGTGTATTCAGCATCCCAAGTGTCCTCTTTTCATGGTTGGCATTAAAAACATTTCTGTACTATGACAATGGAGCTAAACAACCTCCAGGAAAAGGCCTATTACATTGAAATAAAAAGATTCACGAATAAAGTCCGTTGGAAGAAGACAACCAGGATGGGTGCAGTGAGCTTTGAAAAAAAGCAGGACTGAGACGTCTAAAAGTACCTTATATTTTTTTTTGCAAAACTTATTCAACATCTCTCGTAGTTCTTACAAAGGCGCCTGATCAATCACAACATTATGAAGAAACATTAATTGAATGGACACTTGGTAGTGATTGTACTGATTTCATATGAAATAATGGCTGTTTTTTTTACCTGATAGGGATGGTATCCAGTATCTTTGTTTCCAAGACCTTCAATGGTAGTTATGATCCAACCGTCACAGAGAAGAACTGGAGTCAAACACTTAAGCAAGATAAAGAACTCAAGCAATTACTAAATTATTTGTGATACATATATAAATATTTTCCATAAATTAAGTTATAAAAGAAAGGTTACATTTTTTGTTGTCTAATTCACCCATGTTTCAGTGTAAGCAGAGCATTCTGGTAAGTCTAGTTTGACACTAATTTATATTTGGATTTCTTATTTGATTATGAGATTTAAATAAATAACCAGATAAATAGATTCTACTGCTGTTTCAATCAAGATTAGATCTGAATAGTCACCAGGACCGTGATCGGAGTAGACGCTACTGGAAAGTTGAAACAAGTAAAACTTACTGAATTGACAGATCTTGCAGGAGCATCTCTATTCTTCCTCACAGATACAGTACAAGCCCCACAACCTCCTTCGTTGCAGGAAATCTAGAGAAATTTGTCTCTGCCAGAGACTTTTAAACAAACTGGAATTAGCGAAATAAGCTTGGGTTGGAGGAGTAGGAGTTCCTGATCTACAAGTTAGTTAAATCCCACAGCATTGGAGATTTCCGGTTTACAGGGGAAGAAATCCGGAATTGATTCAGACTTTTGGAACCATAACAGAAATGGAAACAAATTCAAAATCATTTCTGTAAATATAATTAACCCGGAATTCTGGTAGAAACCCTGGTTGAACATCATTATCTGCATTTAGAAGTTATGAAATCTGCATTTTTATATTTTAAGATTCAAGATAAATACTAGTCTATCAAAAACACCTTCATGGGTTGAGCTTATAAACTATGCCCCACAATTCACATTTATTTATCTTACATTATCACATTCACATTTAGTATTAACAAACAAAATATTTTTCCCCGAGAGTTGTTTGGTAATTTTAAAATTGTCACCTTAGTTCCAGTTAGACCTGCCACTTCTCTGATATACTGAGCTAAACTCATCCTTGGATCAAACTCATCTCCATCTTAACAATAATAATTATAGTTATAATAATAATAGCAATAGTAATAATTAAAACAATGATTATAATTATAATCATAATTATAATGATCATGATGATAATAATAATAGTAAGATCAATGATAATAGTAAAAATGATAATTATAATTTTAATAATAATGAAAATGATAGTAATAATAATAATGATAAAAATATTAATAACAATTAAAAATAATTATTATTTTAATGATAATAGCAAAATTAATAATAATAATAAGAATAACAACAATAATAGTAATGATAATATTTATGCTAATAATAATAATAACAACAATGATAATAATGATAATAATATCAAAACTATAATATTATTACCTATTATATGATCTATTCCATTGATGCTGAATTTCATCACATTTACCATTTGCTTCTCTAACTCTCCACCCCTCTGTAGCAAAATATGCAAATAAATAAATAAAATGATTTTTGACCGAAAAGTGGTAAAAAACATTACTTACTTGGAAATTTCTTCTTTTATTTCCACCTCCACCTTCCATGATGTGAGAACAAATTCTGAAATTTTTTAAAAAAAACATTTGTAAGCGTAATTTTAATATTCAAGTGACCTGACATGAAAACATGACATTGCCAGATTCACAATGGTACCCTTGAATGCTTGGTCTGATAAAGTTTTATTTATAAATATTTATTTATAATTTTCAAAAATAATAATTTTAAAATGCAGTTCTCTACAAGAATGACTTGCTCATTACTGCTGCAGAAATATATGTATAGGAATTATCAGAACTAAACACTTTAAAAACTAGAAATAAAATATTTTCCACATTATTTAGCAAATAAAGGGATATAAAGGGATATAAAGGGATTTAAAGGGATATAAAGGGATATAAACGGCCCTTTATTTAAAAAGTCTAATTTGGAACGTTCACAAAATTGCTGGTAATTATGTTTTAGAAAAAGCCAATGTTTTTTATAGAATGTAAAAAATATAAGCATTTTTATCCTTTGAGACAGCTAGATATTTTTATTGTTTGTTAATTGTTATTGACATATTTAAAGCAAAGAGCCAGATATTGAAGATTTAATCGAATGTTCATTTTCCGGAGACACGTTGTAAACTTGTGACTTTATGAACGAAGGATGGGAACTAAACAAATTCTATTCCTTACATAAGCTTATCTCAAGTCAAGATTAAATAATTATTTGATTTAGAAAATTAAATTTAAAGGGATTATCAACGTTATTTATTTATTTTGAGAGACATAAAATTTTCGAACCAGTACCCTTTAATTTATCAGAAAATTCGCTGTTTTTTTCCATTTAGATTTTGACGAAACATGTCAATTTTTACTCTTCCAATTTTCAGAGAGAAAATAATGTATATCTCCATCATCGATTTGCAGAGAAAGGTTAAATATTTCATGGTTGTAAGTCGTATTCCTGGGCAGGAAACCCTTAGAGATGTTCCTGTCTTAACACCCAGAATGATCGCGCAAAATTTTAACAAAAACATTTGTGTTTTTTTTCTTTTTAAAGCTAAAAGAATTGTTAAATTTGTCATATGAAAGAATTTCAGCCGTTTGGGGCAGATAGTTGGTCATCCACCCTTTCCATGGGTGGAGTTTAGTCCGCGGTTTTCTTGCATTCAAGGTTTCTTGAAGGCCAAAACAGGCAAATTTATGTGCTTAATCATTTTGTAAACCACCGAAATACTTAATTGAATGCAGAAGCCAAAAATCAAGCTTTAAATCGTCATATTTTTAGACCTTTGGGTCGTCTTTTCAGTCTCATCCTTTGTGGGTAACCCTGTAGCACAATGTAGTCTTCCAGGACTACTAATGTACTATTCATCCCAATGCCCCCCCAGAATATTTTTCTTTCTTATTGGGACTCATATACCCATGCATTCTGGTCTCTGGAACATATTAGATTGGTAAAACGGTTGCAAAAATTAGGATATTATGTTTATTTAAAAAAATGGGCAACACTCCCTTTAAATTAGATTAAATATAGCTAATTCTTTTTATAATTTCCAGAGGAATACATTATCCTAAGCAAACACAAAAGGTACACTCTTTACAGATTACACTTAAAGGGAAAGTAAGCGAGAAATAAAAGTGCACACAGTTTTTATATTTTTTATGTAGGACATTTATTTATTGTCATTAGAGATTTATTAGAAGTAGAAGGCAGATCGATATAGGCCTTTTAATTTTGAAAAGTGTTACACATTTTAAGATAAAATACGAAAATTTAGGCAAATTTCAGAATGATCAATTTTAGAATAAATAAATCTTTGAATCTAGTAATCTATGAATCTATGAATCTATGAATCTATGAATCTATGAATCTATGAATCTATGAATCTATGAATCTATGAATCTATGAATCTAGAAATCTATGAATCTAGAAATCTAGAAATCTAGTAATCTAGTAATTTAGGAATCTTGGAATCTTGGAATCTAGGAATCTAGGAATCTATAAATCTAGTAATCTAGGAATCTAGTAATCTAGAAATCTAGTAATCTAGGAATCTATGAATCTATGAATCTATGAATCTAGGAATCTAGGAATCTAGGAATCTAGGAGTTTATGAATCTATGAATCTAGAAATCTAGGAATCTATAAATCTAGGAACCTAGGCATCTAGGAATCTAGTAATCTAGGAACCTATACAATGAATTTTCTGTTTTNGGGGAAGGGATGAAGAAGGATGAAGAAAACGGGAGGGGGAAGGAATGAAGAAGGATGAAGAAAACAGGAGGGGAAAGGAAAATGGGGGTAAGGTATGAACAAGAGATAAAGAAAGAAAAGGGAAAGGGTAGAAAGGTTAGAACGAAAAGAAAGACTAGGTAAAAAAGAAAAGGTATGAAGTTAAAAGTAAGGTTAGAAATAAATAACATTTTGAACCTTAGTAGGTTAGGAAGTAGGAAGGACAGGATATTTAGGTAGTTAGAAACCAATATAAAAGATTTTTGTCAAAAAAATATTGGCCTTTAGGAAAGGATAGAAAGTTTTTTAGGGAGGCATACGACTCTATAAGACAAGGAAATGTAGAAAATTTAAAAAGAATTAATAGGATTTTAGCAAATGATAGAAATTGTTTGATATTTTTAAAAAATTGAATTATGGAAAATAACTTGAAAAATGATAAAAAGAATGAAAAGATGAAAAAGAACGGGATGAAAGGATAGAAATAAAATTATCATTGATAAAGTAGATTTTATCATATTATAAAAGAGTACAAAAAGAATGCATTTTAGACTAAAGAATTAATGAAAAAATAGTATTAGAATCTCAAGTATGTTGCAGTCAATAAATGTTTAGAAAAGAAATAAGAAAATAAGGGAAACGATCAAATTCATACAAAAATTTTCAGGACTTTTATCTTTTCCTTATTGTATTTAAATCGTATTTTTGCCCAACCCCGATCAACTATCAGATATAACGTGAGATCTTGAAATATATAGTTGGTTCATTGGTTACTGGGCCACCAAATTGCGAATACTTTTTGTAGCCTTGGATATGAAGAAAACAAAGTTGTTTAGTGTTTGTATCTAACTTCAGTTTTTCAGGAATATTTGAAAAATTCAGAAGTCAGATTTTTAATGGTGTAAATCTAGGGGTCAAAAGTTTCAAAAGTTCTCAGCTCTGTCCAGTTTTATTGTTTTTGTTCAGTTTTAACCATTTTTTTCAAGTCAAATTTCATGATAAACGTATAAGAAATGAAAAAGAATTTGATCATGCACCTTTTTTGCATAAAGTTACCGTGCTTACCCATCTGTCTGGAATGTTGGCAAGAAGTGTATATATTGTCAGTACAGTCAGTCCCAAAACATGAAGATTGTATAATGTTAAAATGTAAGAATAATTAGAATATTTAATAATTTTGATAATTTTGAAATCCAATAGGTCAGCCGGTTTTTTTTAAAATAACTTAATAATTACAAATTCTTTATTCGTTGAAAGATAAAAAAAAACCCGATTTTTAAGTGTTTACTTGACTCTATGTTTCCTTGGGACATGGTGACAGTGAAGTAATATCAATTACAAAGTATGTTTATTTTATTTCAAAGTATTTGTTTCTCTGGTCGTAGTAAACAAATCTAAATTGGTTTAAGTGGTTTACTTGAGGGGTACAAAGTATAGAAAAAGGAATAACTTTAATCATAATAAAATTTGTTTTCTATTAATAAATATTAATAGTTTGGAGACTATAGAAAACGTTACAGATAGATTTCAAAGCTCCTAAGCTTAATTGGTTTGAAATAATAAATATTTCAATTTTTTTATTCGAATTATTTCTATTTCCTCTTTTGTCAAACGCTTCCTTTAAGAGAATTCTCCCTACTTCTCTCAGTCTGTATACCCCTCCATCAGCCAGCAATGGAGCTCTTAAATCTGGAATTCATGGTTTCGCATAATCGGTTTCAGATATTTTAATTTTCCGGTATAAGCAGGAACTACGGATAGTATGGAGGACCATGGTTTAAACAAAGGGGGTGAAATATCCTCTGTCATGATTTGATATTTTATCATCTCCTCTTTATAAACATCTTCCATACATATTGAGCCCCTTTTTCTCCCCCCCCCCCATCCAAATTTACCCTTTTCTCCTACTTCTTGTAAAAACATCAATCGATCCTGCATTCTCCTTCCATACAACCCAAAAAGCAATATATTTCTAATCCTCATCCTCTCGTCCTCATCTTCTCATCCTCATCCTCCATCCATCCTCATCATCCATCCTCATCATCCACCCTCATCATACTTCCTCATCATCCATCCTCATCATCCATCGTCATCTTCTCGTACTTATACTTTCGTCCTCATCCTCTCATCCTCTCGTCCTCATCATCTCATCCTCATCCTCTCATCCTCATCCTATCGTCCTCATCCTCTTGTCCTAATCCTATCATCCTCATCCTCCACCCTCACCCTTCATCCTCATCCTCTCATCCTGTTTTCCCCTATAGTATAATCCATTGACTAAAGATTGAAACTAACCCTGTCAAGTATGAATCTGATGAAAACCAAGATTAAAGATTCAGATTCTGAAAATCCTTGACTACTCTCTGACAGGTTGAATGCCTGTAAATAAAAAAGATTATTTTCGTCCAAACCTTGTATTGTTGACTCCTAGCCTTGAAATTTAAATACAAGAAAAGGACACGTGCCCCTTGCCCCCTCACCTCCCACCCCTTGTATCCACTGTGCCACTTGCCCCCCCTTGCCCTCCCCCTTTTATCCACGTGCCCGACGCTGTTGGTTAACGAATGAAAATCAGGTTATCGACAAGTTGCGCTATTCAACCCTTTCTCCAACCTTAGATCTCCAACCCTTGTAATCCTTATCAGATCTATCCCTGTCAACATCAGTTCCAATCTGGACTATATTTTGGGGTCCACGCAGCTCAAAATGAATGCTAAATTTTTAGAAAGAATTCACTGCAAACCAAGATGTGCAGTGTGCACGCTCTCACTGCAAACCAAGATGTGCAGTGTGCACGCTCTCACTGCAAACCAAGATGTGCAGTGTGCACGATCTCACGCAAAAATCGAGCGTTGATTTGTCAATTACTCCTTTTGAACTTAAGGTTACAAAAAGGCTAGGGCTACAAAAAGGCTAGGGCTACAAAAAGTC